GCGCTTTTGGCATCAAATGGCTTGTTTTGAGCCTCGATTCTCTCCTTTTCAGGCTTGCGAAGGTAAATGGCAGCCTTGCCATAAATGGCCATCTCCGCGTCCGTACTCATGATGGCGGCTTATGTCTGCATTTAGTAAGACAATAAATTTTTTAAAAGGCTATCACAAAGAAATGCTTCATTCTTTTGGTTGACCAAAAATAACAAATGGTCTTTTTACTTGTACATTTAACACATATTCTTTTCAAAATTAGCATTCAGCTTTGGCATTAAGAATTGGTGTCAACCTCATAACACCTCATTAATTTAACCCATATTTATTTTATTATTCAATTCTTACATACCTTCGCTTTTCCTTGTTCAAGAAAAGAATGTTTTTGCTCCACGACCCTGTTAAAAATAAGTCCCTGTCCTTAGTGCATGACATTTAAAAGAATTGTAGATTTTTTCTAGTATGTAGAAAAAGGTAGCTTTCAATTATAGCATTGCATATCTACTTGTCTTAACTTGTAAAAAAGGAAATACATGCATATAGTATTAGTCCTAATAGTAGTGAACCTCACCACAAGCAGGATCTTCACTAGTCTTCCACCACACTCTGATACTTCTCCTCCACCCCTTTTATATGATCCACTTTGCTTACAAGGCAGTAATAGAGCATGCTATCAAGCCAAACAAGGATTCATGACAACTGATTTATGACACTAAATTTAGAAAATTCACGCGTAATCTAAATTCTTTGTAAATACTTTTTTGTGGATACAGGGTATCATTTTTCATGTTTCAAATGCGATGTTATGGTTTCCCTAACATAACAAGATTAAAATAAATTCCATGAGTGTTCCTTTACTACATTGACTTATCTTCCATCACAGCTGATGTCATTAACTAATCAGTTGAGTTTACTGAATGATTTAAATACTAGTAACAGCTGATGTGAGGCAGAAGAAAACAGTTTCTCATTCTAAGTTTTTTTCAGTCTATTGTGGTCAAATAGAAGAAATCTGACATTCTGAAGCTGCCTAAAAATAAGTTCTTCATTTAAAGTTTAAGTAGTAATGCTCTAAGTTTCTAAGACACATGTCTGAGATGAAATAGAATCTGCAAATAGTTGGCAGTCAGTATGATGGTCCTTATATGAACTGAAGCTGTCGCTGAGCACAGCTTACTCCATTTTCATATATAAAAAGACACTCGTGATATGGGATCATGTTTTGACATCTAAGATTAAATTCATTTCAGAATTCCTCATTTCTTTTCATTCATTCATCTATACCTCATTTGACAAGTTCCAATGGAAAATGAAAAAACCCTTGCATAAGCCAAAACATTTTGACCTTGTCACTCTTCATTACACAATTTACTGTCCAGAATCTGAAATGAATGTGCATAAAAATGTTCAGCTTGCTGTAAAAAGTATTTAATGAAAACAGGATACTGTACATACTGTTTTTTCTATCTTCAGTTCTTTTCCATGTGAGGAGTATTGCAGTCAGTTAAGTTTCCACTTAACTTGTTTATTTCCGTTGGGAACATGTATGTGTGTGCACTATTTGGAGGCTTATCATGATATTTAATTCTTAAGTTACATAAAAAGTAATTTAAGAATTTATGAAGGGTTAAATTTGTGCATTCTGACCAAACATCTCCACTTTGATCTGCTCTTTCTTCCAGAAGACTTGTGCTTTCTATGGATGCAGCTTTGCAACCCAAAGTCTTGATGCCATATTCATTTTGAATAGAAGAAGCTTTCTTCTGCCAAAATAATTAAGTCCAAGTTTTCAGTATCTATCTAACTGTCTTGGAATGACTTTTAACCTTTAATATGTTAACTGACACCTGTAGAGTTTGAGACGTTGTTGTTGTGTTTGTTGGGGTTTCTCTGAGCATTGCACAGTACGACCTTGGGGGAACCTTCTGGGATGGACAACTGTCCGGGATTTTTCCCACATGTGAGTAACCTTTCTCTCTGTAGAATGATCCTATAAGCACTGGTCTGCTTCTGTTGAGCAGGAGCCATCATGTCGGGATGGAATCCTGGCATAACACTCTTCGATTGCTCCTTTACAATAATATGATAAACAGCCTCTCAAAATGAGGTAAATGTGTCCTCTCCCGGTCCCTGCACCAGTGGCACAAAGGCGGCTGCCTCGGAAAACCAAAACTAACGTCTCTTCCCAAGGTTTGGTTAGAAATAACGAAGGCTGGGAGCAGTGAGGTGCCGTCTGTTGCGGTAGTTGTTTGTAAGTCCTTCTTTCATGCCTCTCGTTTCTTTAAACACGTGAAGATCGAAGAGGCGGCTTCGCGCAGTTTATAAGCGGGTTTAATGGGCGTCTGACAGTGACGTACAAGTCCCTGATCGTTACCTTAGACAGACCTCGTCTCAGATTATTTCAGGACACAGTGACAGACGGAGGGTGACTCAAACAGATCGACGACACTATTATCCTGCATTAAAAACTACAATTCTGCAGGTCTCTGTGAAACGAAAGTAAGAAAACACGTAAACAGCAAGAAAAGGCTGCTCGAATGCATTTTCCAATAACCTAAAACTCACATTTATGCATATTTACCAACAGCCGAAACGTGTTCAATCGTAAAATTCTGAAGCTGAACATGAATAAAAGTTGCAAGGAGGGTGAAGACAGGGTTGAAATGAAGGAGCAGGACGCCGTGCTGCTGGCTCAGATCAACTCTGAATGGCTTCTCTGCTGGTCTGTCATCACTGGCCACTGCAATGACAGCTCCTCATCCGGTGCTAAAATGGTTAACTGAATTCTCAGTGGTTTATTATATGTGACAAGAGTTAAATCCCTTACATATTTTCACTGTTTTTCAAACCCAGATGAATTTGTATTTTTGTATTTCTCTGTTCTACATGTCTGATATGCTTGCTTGGGTTCGTCTGATTGTGACACAGTTACTTTTTCAGATATTTAGGGTACTTTTTCTCTGTGTTTGTTTTTTTTCCGTTGCAAATAACAACCCCGAAAGTTTGTATTTTCCTGGACTGAAAAGATCATTTGTGGCTTTCTCTATGTTTAGCTGATGCCAAACAGCATGCAGCATGACAAATAAGTGTAGCTCCGATTTTGTGACTATTACTTAATCTGTACAAATAAAAAAAATTAGAAAGATGTATTTGAAAGTATATGAAGATGTCTATTTTTATCTGAGCCTGCATTTGCTTCCCAACCTGAACCCACCGTAACATGTGGTTCAAGAAGATAAAAAAGAATTGGCCCAAATTCCCCCAAAAAACAAGAAATTAAACAGCTTTGAATATATTCTAAATATGAGCGATATGAGAGATCCTGATTGGGGTTGATTAATAAGA